CTAGCTGAAGTTATCATTTTTCAACTAGCTAAAGTCTAAGTTACAGGCTGACTTCAGGTCTGGTTTAGATCATTGTTACTTATAAATTATATATTTTTCTGGCATAAATCTGCTGTTTTACATGATTGTTGAATGAAATTAACATAATTATTAATTTATTGTAAAAACATGACCAATAATTTGTGAAACCGAACCGGTTCAGCTTGCTGTTTATTATTTTCTATGGAGGTTGTGAGCTGTTGCCCTTTTAGGTTGCCATTTTTGCTCCTCCATGCTGTCACAGACACTACCAGTGTACGGTATGTGCGGGACTCAGTCTAGTGATATACAGTAAGTCTATGTTTTGAACCCTGTGCAGCTTCACCTAGTGGTGGGATGCTGTGATTTTGAGAGTACAATAATTAACATGCATTATGGGAAATGTAGTTTATGGTCAATGCTGACKTCAAAGCAGCTAATTATAAGGCATGAATACATTTGAAGCCATTGTGGACAATATAAAAGGCTGTGGCGAGCCACATTTGGCTTCCAGGCCTTGAGTTTGACACATGATCCAGAAGCTTCTTATTTAACTTGATAACCTGTTCCAGCGTAAGGCTTAAGAAAAAAATTTGGAAATTTGTGAGCTCCAGCACTGATGTTAATTGTTTATACCTTCACAGATGCAGCCAGGTTGTAACAAAATTAAGGCTTAACAGTAACACTGTAGCAACATGACCATAGGTTCATCTCTGACCGTTACCACCTGCTGGTAGTCTGATTGGGACAGAGGACAGTGTCATTGTCTGGAGATGATAAAGAAGAAGTAGCAGTTTTAACTTTTCAGTTTTACCACATCTCCGCATCACCTTCATGTTTCCCAATCAGCTCTACTCAGGATGCTCCAGAAAAAGGTCTGCATGGTTTGCTTCATGAATTTTTCAGGGGCACTAACATTCCCGGGACATGGATGTTGAGAGAGGGCCTGTGATAAGTCAGTTTTTATGCTTTTGATGTCTAATTGTTTACAAACATCTTTTGGTACATGCCCTCCTTCACATCTTCATTTCCCTCCTTTTTGTCTCCACAAAGTGTGAGCAACTGCTGTATCTACAGTGWCTTTACCTGCATGTGGCCACTTCACATACCAGTCAATAATCCTACTCTGAAGTGGGATTATTGATTGTTACGATAGATCTTCCCCGCCCCTTCGCTCTCATACAATGACTGTCCAGACACTTCTGAACAAACGGAGAATAGATATTTTGATTGAGCGGTCAGTGTATGGTAAGAGTAAAACCTCAGTGTGTTTGGGTGTAGAGGAACATCCTCCTCTTCTGCACCTGTCACTGTAACCCCCTCCGCCTCCCAAACCTTTTCGCTGCTTCCAAACGCAGAGCGACCTCTACCCTTTGACCTGTGTGTGTTTTTGTTGTGTTTGTTTGCGTCGATGGCAGTAACGGCTCTGGGACGTCAGAAGACCTCTTCTGGAAGCTGGACGCCCTTCAGACTTTCATCAGAGACCTGCACTGGCCAGAGGAGGAGTTCGCAAAGCACCTCGAGAGTCGCATCAAGCTCATGTCGAGCAATATGATTGAGAACTGCGTCAAGCGGTGTGTGGCTGTAAATGAGTCGGGACTGAGTRTTAACACAACTGCATGTTTAACATTATTGTCTTTTTTTTCTACTGGCATTTCAGCACCAGGATGGCCTTTGAGTCTAAGTTGGTGAAAAGCAGTAAGTCCACTGATTTCCGTATTTCTCCATCATTATGCACCATGTTCAACGTGATGGTGGACGCCAAGGACCAGTCAGCTAAACTCTGTGCCATGGAGCTGGGCCAAGAGGTTATAAATATTACATTTTTATACAATGTCTTTTTGCATCATAAAAACATTTTGTGATTTCCGTTTGTTGTGACTTTTTTATATATGTTTTAAAATAATTTTTACTTTATTTTATGCAGAAACAGTTCCACTCCCAAATCGATGAACTGATTGAGGAGAGTGTGAGAGACATGATCCAGCTTCTGGTGGCTAAGGTACAAACMTCATTATAAATTTAGGAATACTTTGAATACAATGCTTTGATAGAAAATGTTAACGTGAAAAATATTTTACTGATAGATTGATGTCTTTTTTTTCTTTAGTTTGTTGTCATTCTGGAGGGAGTGTTGGCTAAGATTTCCAGATATGATGAAGGAACTCTCTTCTCCTCTTTCCTTTCATTTACGGTGAATTGAGTTTTCATTTTTATGTTTTCATGTTATTTATTTAGATCCTCAATATGTAAAACACAACCTTAAACAACTAAAACGAAATATATATAAATAGATAAATATATACAGTATATAGATAAATATACTGTATATATACTCGGGACAAAAATTAAGGAAAATTTGTGTTAGAATTTTTTTGTAACAATGCTTCTTAGCAATCAATCTTAAATGGGGCACCTGATTGACAGCGCTTGGGGGAGAAGCTCAAAGCAAATTATTGTTAAAACATTATATCTTTCATGACCTTTGAAGCTATGTAACAGGTAGTTAAGCAGTTTTTAGATAGTAATTACACTTTATAAACTTTTACCAGAATATGTCATATAACGCAGATTAACTGTTTCTTGACAGCTTTTCTTTGTGTTTTAGGTGAAAGCTGCCTCAAAATATGTGGATGTACCTGTAAGTACATTTACATTCTTTATTTATTTGTGTTGATTGTGAGCTTACATTTAAATAAAGTTTGACTAAATGCTTCCAGTTTTCAGACGTGTGTTTTTACTTGGTATTATCTCCAGTGTTTCAGGGGTCAGTCTGCTGATTCTTCATATGTTTTTCTGTTTTTTTTCCTACAGAAACCTGGGATGGACGTAGCCGACGGCTACGTGACCTTTATGCGCCACTCTCAGGACATGCTTCGAGAAAAGGTCAATGAGGAGGTGTATATAGAAAGGTTATTTGATGTAAGTAAGATGCCGTCTCCTCCACTCAAGAAGGGAGGGGCCTTCCAAAATGTGGCAAAACAACCAGAGGGATAAGTCCCATTCTGAGACCAGGAAGTGTACTTCAGCCTGGCAGAAGAGGCTTTTTTTTTAATCCTCTACATCTCTCTGTCTATCTCTCCTCTCTTTAATCACAGCTGCCTTCTGCATTCTGATGTGCATTGCCACAGTGCTTTTGGGCCTTTGTGTATTAAAAAATACATATATTTACAAAGAGTCCATAAAAGCATTGTCAAAAAAACAAACAAAMAAAAAAAGGATTATCTGAAGCAGTGCTCTCTGAGAAAAAAACAGAACTAATCATAGTGGTCTTCCAGCCACCTGACCAGTAACACAACATCCAACAACCATCCTCCTGCAGAGGTGAAGCACCTGCCAACTGTCTCTGTGCGACTTAAAAATGTCGAACCAAGAGGCTGACATGGTGCAGAGTCCTGACTTATTGGAGCGTCAGTTCCCAACCTGCAGGTGGAGACAAACCCYGAGGCTTCAGGAAGAAAACTAGAAAAGGTCCAAGCTAAGACATGCAAAAGGAGAGAAAACAGTAATATTAGAATTTCTGTTAGAGTTACAGAGCTTTTAAGCTGAAGTAGGTAATTGCTGTGGACTGTTCAAAAATCAATCCAAGATTGCCTGAAGTGCACAAGTCAAATATGTTGCAGGTGTATTGGAACAAATAAAAATTAAACTCTTAGAAAAACAAAAATCTATAAAGACAAACATCATCTAACAAAAGAGAGAAAACAAACTCACATGTTTATAGTAATGCGCTACAACTCCTGTCTGAGTCCTGAATGATTTGCTTTGGGCTTTTTTTTTTTT